GGCTGTGCTTGACCAGCAGGTGTGAGCAGCGGACCCTGGCGGGCTCCCCCTGCCCGTTTTTGCTGCCACCTCCGCCGCCTCCACCGCCGCCGCCAGTGCCGCTGGGCCGCTCCCACTGGCTGGCATTGGTGATGTGGTTGAAGTAGTACACGCGGCCTGCGGGAGGGGAGGCAGTGGGGCTTCAGCCCAGGCCGGGACAGGCGACCGCGGTAAGGGACTGGCTCGGGAGAGGTCTTCACTCGGCGAAGCCACCGAGCCTGCCACAGGCCCCAGGACCAGGATCCCGAGTCCGGGGTCCCTGTCCTTCCAGAGCTACGGTTCTAGGTGGGGCCAGATCGGCGCTCAACGGGCGAGACGAGGAGACAACTGCAGAGGCCGTGGGGAAACAACTCCAAGGACGCAGAGAGATGGGAAGAGGCACAGGAAGAGGCAAGAATTCGGCAGCCAGGCTGCCCTGGGATTTGTATCTGGCTCAGCCACTTTCTGCCTTCCCTGGGCCTCAATTTTCTTATCTGTAAAAATAAGGTCTGAGTCCACACATCCGCAAAATGCTTAGCACCCAGCCTGGCACCTATTATGCTGGGACAGGTTTTCAGAAATCCTTTCTTTTTGAGTTACTGGGGATCAAACTCAAGGCCTCTCAATTGAGCTGCATTCTCAGCCCTCTTTCAAAAACATTTTTTTGAGACGGGGTCTCTCCAAGTTAAACTGCCCCACGCCAGGCTCACACTTGCCTCAGATTACAAGCATGTGCCACTACACCTGACTTTTCCTTTTTTTTTTTTGAGACAAAGACTCGCTGTGTTGGGCTAAGTGGCCTTGAACTTGGCTCAAGGGACCCTCCCACCTCAGCCTCCCGAGTAGCTGGGTTTCACATGCGCACCACCAGCCAGGGCCTCGTGTATGTGAGGCAAACCCTCTCTACCTCTGCAGCCGCAACTGTGACAGCTTCTCTTATCCCCATGACACGGAAGACAAAGCTGAAGCCTCAACTTCTGCATCTCTGGTAATAGCTGCAACCGGCAAGGATTGCTGTGCATTTAATTCTGTGCTCCTTAGGAAGACCTGGGACTAACTCGGTTTGCCACACCCAAAAGCTCTGCTCTTGAGCCCTACCCAGCACCCTGTGCGGCAGAGCTAGGCCAGATGTCCCCCAGGCAGCGAGAAACATGCAAGGAGCTTGAAGAGAGGACCCTGAAGGTTCTGGGTGTCATTCCAAGAGCTGAGAGGCTGCGCTGCCTAGGGGACCTAGCGCCATGAAGGGGTGGGTGTCACCCGTGAAGAAAATGCCAGGGTCCCGCTAAGCAGGGTGCCCCAGAGTTCTGCAGTGTCAGGCTTATGCTGGAGATCAGAGTCACGGGTCAGGCCAAGGTTAGCCAAGTGCATGGATTCTGGGAGCAAATCCCGCGGAGCCACTGACTCTAGAGCTTCAGCAAGAGGCTCCATCTCCCCGAACCTCAGTTTTCTCTTCTGCAAAATGACGCGAGGCCAGAAAGTAAGGACATCGATACTCATGGAGCCGACAGGAAGAGTCAAGGTATGCAGAGTGTTCACCACGACGCCCGGCGCTGAGTAAAAAATGAATCATTACTGCGACTATGATTACTATGGGCTGTGGAGGCAGCAGAGTGACCCTGGACCCTTCCCAAAGATGCTGGGCCTGCTCCTCAGGCATTGGGAGGAACACGGGAAAAAGGCCTCAGCTCTTGAAACTGCCTGATTGTGGGTGAATTCCTTCAGTGTCCTGGCCTCCGATTTTCCTCACTTGTAAAACGGGAGTAATAACTACTGTACAAGAACTGTGACACTTAGAGAGAGAGAGAGAGAGAGAGAGAGAGAGAGAGAGAGAGCGCGAGCACTTACACTTAAAGCGCTTGGCACGACGCTGGGAAAGGTACAAACGTGCACGGTCATTACGGGGCAAACCTCTGTACCAAGAACAGGGGCAGACCTCAGAATATCACCTCGGATATCGCAGACTCAGTAGAAAGGGTGTCAGCCGGGTTTAAGTTGTGGACCTGAGGCCGGGTGCACCCCGGGGCACCCGCCCGTTGCACGGTACCGTGGCGTCCTCCTCCCAGGTCCCCCTCCCCCCGCCCTAGCAGGGTGCAGATTTCCCCAGGGTATTGGGTACTTTAGGCCAAGAGGTATCAGCATGCCTAGAGCAGTGCTGCAGTCTCTGAGTCCCTCACTAATCCCGCCCCTGTCTCCGTTTCCCAGAGCCCCGGGTCACAGCCTGCACAGGACGGGCCAGGGCTGCAACTCCCGGGACAACGTGCAGGAGCCAAGATCCTACGGGAGAAAGGCGGCCGTGGAGCCGTGTCCCAGGTGAGAGCTCGAGCCCTGCTTCCTGGGCTCGCGCGGCCCCGCCCCAGCCCCGACCCCCGAGGCACCTGAGCTGCGGCTCATGCGCTTCTCCCAGCCGGGCGGTA